GCACGGCGCACACACGCACGGCGCACACACGCACGGCGCACACACGCACGGCGCACACACGCACGGCGCACACACGCACGGCGCACACACGCACGGCGCACACACGCACGGCGCACACACGCACGGCGCACACACGCACGGCGCACACACGCACGGCGCACACACGCACGGCGCACACACGCACGGCGCACACACGCACGGCGCACACACGCACGGCGCACACACGCACGGCGCACACACGCACGGCGCACACACGCACGGCGCACACACGCACGGCGCACACACGCACGGCGCACACACGCACGGCGCACACACGCACGGCGCACACACGCACGGCGCACACACGCACGGCGCACACACGCACGGCGCACACACGCACGGCGCACACACGCACGGCGCACACACGCACGGCGCACACACGCACGGCGCACACACGCACGGCGCACACACGCACGGCGCACACACGCACGGCGCACACACGCACGGCGCACACACGCACGGCGCACACACGCACGGCGCACACACGCACGGCGCACACACGCACGGCGCACACACGCACGGCGCACACACGCACGGCGCACACACGCACGGCGCACACACGCACGGCGCACACACGCACGGCGCACACACGCACGGCGCACACACGCACGGCGCACACACGCACGGCGCACACACGCACGGCGCACACACGCACGGCGCACACACGCACGGCGCACACACGCACGGCGCACACACACAATACGCAAGCACTCATGCACACACATACGTGTTTGTGTGTGTGTGTGTGTGTGTGTGTGTGTGTGTGTGTGTGTGTGTGTTGTGTGTGTGTGTGTGTGTGTGTGTGTGTGTGTGTGTGTGTGTGTACATACAAGCACACATATATACATACATACATACATATATATATACATATACATATATATATATATATACATATATGTTTTATACAAGCATAGTCTTATTTAGTACTGGCAAACACATACGTGAGCACAGTATTTGAATTACACCCATTTAGTAAATCAATATCTGTGAGTAATTGATGAATATAGTCATAAGCTGTATATATAGTCAATTGTCTTCTGTGAAGGCGCATGGAATGTGACATGTTCAGTAATATAAACTAGTCTAAATATTTTGCCAGTCTGCCTTCATGTGAGCAGTCATACACAACATATACATAAGTCATTACTTTTACTTTTTGATGCTTAGTGGGTTCAGTGAAACGCTCCTCCTATATTACCCTGAGATGGAGAGTGATAGGCTCTCATAGACTAACCAGATTTATGATATAAATATCAAGCCTGTCCAACTGTTCCGCAAACACAATGGACTTGATTAACCTGATTGTTTCCATCCCCAGTATTATACCATAAATCAGGTATGTATAGCCAGCCTTTGGGTCCCATGTACTGATATAGAGGATGAACGTGGATTATGTGAAAACTTACAAAGACAGTCACAGTATTAACTACTTTCTTCAACAAAATTTCCCTAAAAAAAAATCCAACTCAATGCTAACACTGAATATCTACTAATGTTTAATACTCTTACAAAACCTGTACTAATAACAACACATCACTTGTGCTTTAGATATCACAGAAACTATCCAATGCTTATCAGAAAGGTTTATTTACTTGGTACTCACTCTAACAATGATTTTATATCTACCATTAAATGGTTCAATATAAGAAAATTATAGGCACTCATCATTCAAATCAAAATACATTATCAGATCTCAATGGGATGGCAGGGGATGGGAAGGTGTTTAAAATTGTTATCAAGAGATAGAGTTTGAATGTCTGCTATTCTCTTTTTTTGATGTGTGTCTAGTTTAAGCCTTATTTTGACTTTTCCTTGAGTACTGTTTTAACATGAAAACATAATCAGCCTTTATTTCTATATCCTTTTCAGACTTAAACTACAAAGAGTAACACCCAACATCACTGTGATCATCCATTTTCGAGAAATAAAAAGTAAACTGTCATCTATTACCATGGTATAATGACTAGACTTGCTAAAGATAATATAATAGGAAAATACCAAATCAAGACCAAAACATACTTAAATAAAACTAGAATACTACTTGAAGTCATTAAATAGGCCTGATGAAGTTAAGGCCTAGAGTGGAAAAAAATAAATGAAAAAAAATAATAATAATAAAATAAAAAGATGGATAACACCAGTTACCTCCACGATCAAGACTGTGTGAAGATAATCATAATGTGAATACTTTAAAACTACAGCACAACAAGCTTTAATTCATCAGGTTTGTTGTAGCCACTCCTCTCTCAAGTATAATCCCTGTTGCACAATGTAATTGCTGAAGGAGGGGGGGGGGGAAGCATCAGTATGAACAATGGCTACGTACAGTCAAGGGACCATTCAGCTTGGCAGCCATTTACAAAATATTATGAAGCTTTTGGCGACTGGGTACACACTTCATTACTCTATCATACAACTTTGCCGCACGATGTGGGAAGTATTGAATTTCATCTCTCCAGCCTGAGGGAGACTTGTGGTGTGATATGGGCGTTCACTGCCCGATTAAACACTAATATATATCACAGCTTTCTGGATTGCAAAAAACAACAAATACCAGTTTTATGCAGTGTACCTGAATTACAGTTTTGTCAGTCCTACTACTGTTCCTGATCAACACAGCATTCTGGTATCATCATGAATCACAATCATTTCACCATAAAATCATTGATATTAAAAATAATACAGATTTCCTAAAACGTATTTCTTTTTGCAAATATTCATACCTTCATAATGTGAGGAATTTCTTAACCATGTTCTTGGAGAGAGCTTTTTAAACATTACTATATCATCATACCATAACAATTCTAGTACATCAATCATAAAAAAATACTGCTCCTAGTGCTTTTTATACTACTTAACATTGTGAATAAATACCTAATCCATCTCTACACCAGATTTACATGACAAGTTAAAAGTGCTTGTATACTTGCTTTCTGCTGGCAACATTTATCAGGTTTTTGGATCAGGACCAAAAACACTTACCACAACTGGCAATACAACTGATCTATAGTACTTCAATATTATTGACAACGACATTACAATAACTTAAATAAAAATCTATTAATTCTGAACAGCTCAGGCAAGGACCACATAAAAATAACTTAACAACAATATTAATGACTTGTAATCCCTTAATTTAATGAGAATTTTGTGCCTTTGCATGGCTCCCTTAGTGAGAATACTGTGAAGTCTTGATGTGATAATCAATAAGGTCACAATAATCCTGGGATGGGGAATGGTTTTGGCCTGGTGGTGGACTGAACTCTGAAGAGACCACTGGTGATGAAAACACTGGTTTCATCACTAAAACAGCTTTTCACACACACACACACTTAGGGATGATGGTGATTGAGCCTTAATGTCAAGATGGGCAACCATAGAGAGGAGACATAATACTGGAGAGCGTTCTCACACCCTGAGACTCTAGGTTTCCTTCCCTTGGCGCTCTACATTAAACAATGGCTGAAGTTCTTGCGTTTACAAAGACATTTCTTATCACTACTGTGGAACTTCTGGATAGAATGTGATGTTTCTTGATTTTCCTTTCTTCTAGAAACTTGTTATGTGGCTATAAATAAATAGAAACCCTACAATACTGTGTTCTTTTGTTACTCTTACTTGAATCACCCATTTAGGTGCTGAAAGACAATTGCAGACAATATTACTATTGATGTGTGGTATCGTGTAATTTGAGATATTACTTTAAATTGAAGAACATTGATAAAATCACATATTTCCCACAAACATTAAATATCAATCTTCAATGAAAGGTCCTTATGAGATGCAAATCCCTAATCACAACACAAACTAAAAAAGAAAAAGAAATATCCCTCAACACTGACAATAAAAAAAGACCTATTCCTCAATGACTGGACATCATAAATACAATATAGTCCTTTCCCCATTTTACTAGATCTTAAAGAGTTTGCTTCATCTTGAGATATAACACATATCCTTCTTAAAGTATACCAACTGTCGGGCAAAAATACAATGTTCTCTATATCATTATGGTCATCGATTGTATCAGTCGCTGCTATAGGTTGTTCATATGTACAAAAATATAACAAACATTAACTTATTGAAAATCATACTTTCAATTCCCACTTACACATAATACAATAAAGAAATCAGGACAGAAAAAACTCAAGTAGAAAGGATTAGAAACATACGATATACTATATAAATCAATAGGATGAATAAACATGCATACAAACATACATACATTCATAACATTTTTTAATTGAAGTTGATACTAAAAGGAGAAGAAAGTGGATTTTGAAAGGTAATCTGTATATGTGTGTTTGTGTGTGTGTGTGTGTGTGTGTGTGTGTGTGTGTGTGTGTGTGTGTGTGTGTGTGTGTGTGTGTGTGTGTGTGTGTGTGTGTGTGTGTGTGTGTGTGTGAGTGTGAGTGTGAGTGTGAGTGTGTGTGTGTGTGTGTGTGTGTGTGTGTGTGTGTGTGTGTGTGTGTGTGTGTGTGTGTGTGTGTGTGTGTGTGTGTGTGTGTGTGTGACTGTGAGTGTGTGTGACTGTGAGTGTGTGTGACTGTGAATGGGTGTGAATCTTTATTTGCATCTCAGTGTATAAGCGTATGCATGTGTGGGTGTACCAGTGAATATATCAGTGTGCATGTGTGTGTTCGGGTGTGCATGTGCATATATGAGTGTGCGTGTGCGTGTGCGCGTGTGCGTGTGCATGTGTGTGTGTGTGTGTGTGTGTGTGTGTGTGTGTGTGTGTGTGTGTGTGTGTGTGTGTGTGTGTGTGTGTGTGTGTGTGTGTGTGTGTGCGCGCGCGTGTGCATGTGCATGTGCATGTGCATGTGCATGTGCATGTGCATGTGCATGCGCGTGTGCGTGTGCATGTGCGTGCAAGTACCTAAGTGTGTAATACGTACTAAATTGTAATACTGTTATGTATGTTCATCTGCAGGGTAATAAAAAAAAAATAAAAATAAAAAATAAATAAATAAAAAATAATAATAATAATAATAATAATAATAACAAAAATATAAAGAGAAAAGAAAACACACACCTCTGCATATATTATGCCAGTCAGTGTGACATTTCCATTAAGATTAAAGTTGGATTTCCTATTATATGACTGGGTATCTGGGTGTGTCAGCTGTATTGTATGTTTTGTCAAAATCCTATCTTATTTTCTCCTTGTTTTTCTTTACTTGAGGAGCAAACTTGGGAGGAGGAGGAGGTAGAGAAGCAGGAAAAAATAAAGGCAGGCAATGGACTACGCAATAAGTAAATAAAAGAAACTGAACCATGCCTGACACCACGTCACTAACAAGAACAAAAGAGAATTAAACAAAGGTTCCTATAACTGCAAATTCCTCTTTTTCTTTATACCCACTAAAATCCTGGACTTGATAGTGCTCCTTTTCTCTTCCACTTGTGCACAAAGCTCTTATAGTAGCTCTCTGATTCTCAGAAAAAGTAAACCCAATTGGCTAAACTTAAAAAGATTTTTAGAAATATCACTTCTCCAAAGACTTCCCATATCTTAAGGTTATCCAGTATGCATATAACAGCGTGTTTCTAAAATCAATGGAAACAACTCCTGATGAATTCTGCATTTTCTTAGATAAGTTTGGCTTCTATTCTTTTAACCATCTAGGGACTTAAACAGAAAGTGGGGAAAAAATCAATGATACAGATCATAAAATAGAATCTATATTGACCATGTTTGATTGTCTTTGGCATGATTTCATTGAAAGGAAATTTTACTACAGGTGACTTTAGTGTGAATAACATCCTTCCTGTTCAAGCTTTCTAAAAAAGAACAGGAAGAGCTGCTGGCCAAAAATAAATTAATAAAGAAAGTTAATAAAAACTTTGAATTCCCCTTCTGAACACTAACTTCCTATGAGTTTGTGCCTTTCTTCTGCCAACTGTTTATGCTCTTTGTGTCTCACACTGAAAAATAAAGGTAATAAATTCTTCTCAGAAGAAATCTGGAATGTGAAACACTATACAATATTTAGTCCCATGCAGTTCATAAAGAAAAGACGCAGTGCAATTTACTTAATGTTCAAGGATAACTTTTCGAGAATAATCAAAATACAGGGAAATGCTACATCAAGAAATAGAATGACTGTAAAGCAAAATTATTTCTCTCCTCTCCTTTCCTCTACTTTCAAATTCCCTTTCCCATTTGCATTTCACTCAATCAATCACTCCAAAGGTTCTCTTTGACAACAATGTACACTTACACACACACCTAAGATCATCCCGCTATCAAAGAACAACATTTTATTCCAGAGGATTAGTACTACTTATGCTTTTATTTATCCTGTTGGCATTTAAAATGTAAGTGGAATTGTTACTTCTATCACATAAATTCCTGTAACTTAACCAATATCTATATATACATGAAAAAATATTACTAAATAAAACTAAACTCTTCAAAAGAAAAATACAACTAAGGATGTTATATTTTGTCCCTTCTATATCTTATCTTCAAACAAGTTTGGCTGACTCATAAAAAATCCTATAGCTTATAATGTTATTCTTAAAATCAAGATGTTAACTCTCAGACTGCAGAGACATATTGTTAACTATCTGAGAGGAGATTCAAAGATGCTTACTGACATTTTAAAGTTGAAGGCAGACTGTTCTCTCTCAGTAATCTAACTGTATGCAGTCCTTGTGCTAGCTTCTCAAATACATATTGCATAAGATCTTTATTATTGCACACTAAAGTTCTTTGAAACCATAACTGTTCTACTGAACAATGATCTTAAGATAAAATGTTTCCAAGAAAATAATTTCTTTTAAAGCTTTTCTAAAATCATCTAAATAGAAATAGGTCTGTTCTTCTGCCATCGTACACAGTTGCAATTAATGTTTATAGTTGTCTTGGTTTTGAGTATACTTCTACATACATACACAAGAAAAATATCAAATCACAGATTTTAGGAAAGCCTCCAGTTATGTGCTTCCAGACTTTGGCTGCCTCCAATACAGATAAAACAGCTGTTAACCTGTTCCAGCTTATGGGAAGCTTCATAGTGACCAGATAAACAGGTTGTTGACACCCAAAATGAAGATAATATTGTCCACTCTTCATGGACAGTTTTAACAAGGTATTATCTCAAGAGGGAGATAACTTACCCCTAAAATACAAAATGAATATCTTAAATATGGAAGGTTATGCTGTAATGAAAATTTAAAATGTCTAGCATGGAAGCTGTCCTGACTCATACCAGTATTTATCTTCAGGATGTCTATAGGAACATATTGATGGAAACATCTACAGAGGGCAGTGATCAAAAGACCCATCTGTAAATAGTCTTCCCTGCGATGTCTCTCAAAAAAGAAAAAAATACAAATATATACATCTTCTCTTCATAATAGCCATATTGGACTGCGACACATATTTCACATATACACCTTTGTGTCTTTAAAAACTGTGTCATATTATTAGGTGTGAATCCCTGCACTAAATCTGATATTTTCATTCAGTGCAGTAGAAGAAATCCTCACCATCTATTTTGCCTTTGTTGTTCTGCAGAGAGAATTTCTTTTTTTTTGAAATACAATACCTCTTTTGTGATGCTGGAATTCTCCCACAATAAATTCCATCTTTCGCATAATTCTCAGCTGATTACCGAGTCTGACAGCACAATGGAAAGCATATATTGGTCAGTGTCAGAGATCTTGCTGGTGGTACGGACACATGGATGGAGGTCAGATAGGGTCAGAGGTCGCCAAGTTCTGCTCAGGCCAGCTGACACATCCTGTCAGAAAGAAATGTATCATGAGGCTAAAATTAATATATAATGATCACTAGTAACACCCCCCCACCACCACCCAAAAAAAAAAAAAAAAAAAAAAAAAAAAAAAAAAAAAAAAAAAAAAAAAAAAAAAAAAAAAAAAAAAAAAAATATATATATATATATATATATATATATATATATATATATATATATATATATACATATATACATACATACATACATACATACATACATACATACATACATACACACACACACACACACACACACACACACACACACACACACACACACACACACACACACACACACACACATACATGTGACTGAATTATATGTATATTCACTGGATATATACATATAGTTCTCGATATATACTTTCATAATCATCTATATTTCCCTTTATTTATGGATCTACCAATCTATCTGTCTCTTCTATCTATACCTCTATACACACATATCTGATACTTTGATCCTTCCAAATTAATGCTAACTTAACCCATTGCCGCCGGGGATGGCATGCACATACATGCCATGCCCACTCTGAGTCGACTTGTTCGATTGTTTTTACACATAGATGGCTACACTTGTACCAAGTATCCAATGAGCCAATTACGAGTACTGCCTGCCTCGCCCGTTCACCCTTTTCATCGATTTATGAAAATATTTGACGTTATACTAATTTGCTGTTAAAAATAACACCATCTATATTTATAGCACCAGTAAAAATACGTTTTTTCCCACCAATTCAAGGAAAGATGAAATCAGGACTAGCAGAGCCATCTATAGACAGAGATATTTCACAAAAACATAAAAAATGAGTACTGCATTTCCCCCATTTTTTGTTCATTTTCCCCGGCAGCAATGGGTTAATAATTATACATATTTCCACACTATCCATGCAAGAAAAACAATAGCAAAAGAATGTAGCATAAGAACCAAAAAAAATTCCAAACATCCGATTCAAAGAAGTTAAACAGGCAGACACTACCTCTGCAATGTTCTCGATATCTTCCTCATCAGCAAGTTCATGGGACTCATCTGCTTCAAGGCAATCTTCAGGGATGTGCAGCTCCTTTAGCCCAGCCCCTCGCAGACGGGCTATGGCTACAACATCACTCCCTCCATACCCATAGCCTGAAAAAATACAGTCGGCACAAATGTATACATATCATAGATATTTTAGATATTTTATACTACTTACTGAAAAAGATTTATGAAAAAAAATATTGCTCATTTAATCCTTTTGTGAAGCTAAGATAAAGTGAACATTTCAACATACATCAATTTTAAATATAATTCACAAATTCTATTTTCAAATTAACCCTTTTTATTTTTTTCAATTCAGGTTTAGAGAAGCATAGTTTAAACTTTACAAAATAACATTATAAAAAAAAATTAAGAAAAAACAATAAAACAGGTGAAGCTTTAACTGTATTCTTAATTTTTCACACTATAAAAAAACTATACTTTAGTTACACTCTCTTGAAATAAAAGCAACCTGACAATTGTAAATATCAATATTCACAAGAGCTTAGTCAGCAAGGTGTTTATTACTAGGCATATCTGGTCTAACCAGTTTAACCCATTCTTTGAATTTTTGGGAAAATATGTTTTAATTCTAATACTATAATTATCATTGTTAAAGTTATTACTGTCATTACTGACATTATCATCATAGACAATAATAATATTGTATCAATAATAATAGTAATAAAAGTAAAGATTTCTTCTGAAAACTGATGAATGGGGCAAAATGGTTAGATCTGGTAGGTCTAGTAATTGATTCCTTGATGACTAAGACTTATAAAGCCGTCTAGGTGTAAACAAAATCAATAAATCACAGTGGGCATGGAATATATACATGACATACTACAAACTACTGTAGTAATATATAGTACTACATACTCCTGACAAATTTCTTAGTCAATATTAACTATCAATAACTACCAAACACACTTTTCTCTCCATCACAGCTAAACATAAATCCTTATAAACCACAATACCAAGTCACACATTTTGTTACTACAAAATAATTACTGCTACCTACCATACAGAGTAAGGTGCTCAAGGTTTTTGCATTTCCAGGCCAACATCACAAGTGGATCTGGTGTTTCCTGGTCATCGTCACGGCCCTCTGTGAGCATGCCCCAACCACTGTGGTCTAGAGCATCCACGATGGTGAGATGACGTAGCGTTTCACTGTACCACATGGTCATCAAGCGAAGAGCTGCTACATTGATCTTGAAAGAGAAAAATAACAAAATGCAAGTATGGTATTGTATCATATTCATTAACCCACTGATACCAAATGAAGTCTAATTACATCCTGATGAAAATTTCACTGATGTCGGATAACATCTAATCATGTCACAAGCCTAGGTTCCAGCAGTTCAGAAGCCAGGCTGTGAGCCATACGATATTTCAGACATGGAGTGATGCACACTACTACACCTAGCCACACCAAATTCCAGTCAAAATTTTACCCATCATGAATAGGTTATCAAAATTTTCAAGTTCATTTATTAAATAAATGACTATATATTTAAAAAAATAGGAGTGAACTATCAAAAAGTGACGGTTAACATGAATTACTTTTCTGGCACTTGAGACTTAGAATCAAGTTGCTGCCAACTTAAAAGACATTAATACTTTGGCTAACCAATGATATTATTTACATGGTGGTTCCTATGTAACAAAAGTATAACATATACTAAAAATCCCTTTAATGTTCAATGGTCATGGTAGTAAATTTAAAATGATATACATTATTAATAACACAAAGCCAATGTGAGCTTCATATGTCAAACTAGATCCCACTGGGCACAGTACATTCAGCTACTAAAGGGAAAAATCAAGAGCATTGGAAACATAAAATTTTCCCACCCTAAAGAAGACTGACTGCAGCATATACAACTGTCTGGTGAACATGGCTAGATATGTTTCAGCAAATTTTTGATGGATGTAGATGTTAAAACACAGCAGTAGTGATCAAACAAGAGAACAACTATTTCATGTGCATAGTGGGTGGGTTTGACACATATGGCATGGGTAAACAGGCTACTTGGAAAGGAGTCCAGTCAAGCCATGGCATATACATACATGCCATCCATCAGCATTAGGTTATCAAACATTTCATACAAAGAATAAAACTAACAAAAAGAAAAGAAAAGAAACGAAACTATATAAGTATCAACACCTGTAAAAGATGCCTACATTCCTTCATGTCACTGTATATGCTGTTCAATTTAAAATCAGTGCTGGTATTCTATTCCAACTAACATGTGTATGTCTGTAAAAAATGTTAACCCCTTGGATGCACATGTTTCACTGCCCACACGTGGCCCAAAATATGGGCATTAGGCTTACTTGAGCGACCACACTATCTCTGTGGCTTGTAGGCTGGACACACATGAAAACTTGTGTGTGGTGACAGGACCCCATGCCTCCCCTTAGCAATTTTATTTTCTCTTTTCCTGCACATGTGTTTTTAGTTTTTTGTCATTTTTCAATGTCTATATTTGTCATTTGATTTTCTCTATTCAGATGGTAATATATTGTTTTCCCTGCAGACACTCCATATCATCTCTCTAGTCCACAACTAAGCGTAATAATAATAATAAGTAACATTGTTATGTAGGTCATTTTCTTTTTTTCTTTTTTTTGTAATATTCAATTTTCTGTAATACAACCTGTGCCACCAGACACTGTGGGCAGCAATCGGATCCTGATCATGGAAATAGCATCCTCCTTGGAGCCAGTGCTTTACCAATCATGGTTCATGGATTATATATTCCACACTTGTTTATTTATAAAAATATTGCAAGGGCCCCCTCATAAATTGCTACTGAGTCTAATCACCCTCTAAGCTTTGTGCACTCATGGTGGCAAGTTCCCATCACCCCAGCCCTCAGCCAAATTTTCACATAGTGGCATTCAAGCCAATTTTTTTCATGACCTGATGGTAACGTTATCTGGATTGTAGGGGTTATTAGACAGTGGCTTGAAAAATATGATCATAAATAAGAAATGGTTATGTTCAATTTGTAAGAAAAATACTTGCTCCTCAACCAATGATAGTACAGGGCCAGAAAAATATTACCATACAAACTCAATGCAACTTCAATTTAGTATCACATATTAATCAAGTAGTGCGAACACTATCATGATGGGAACTGTTTTCTCTTTGCACTCCTTTGGCACACAGATAATACCACAAAATTTCCTAACTACTTCCTCAGTATCAAATCCAATCATCTGAGTCACTTCAAACAGTCCCAAATCACCAAGCTAAAAGTAGTGAACATACAGCAGTGCTGAGAAGAATTCTGTACTACAATAAGTAAAGCTGAGCAAAATCCAATGACTTACCCACTCACAGAAGAAAGCCCTGAAGTGTGTGAGGGGCATGGATGGGTGTAAAAGTCCAGAGCCAAGTTGTTCCACTCCATCATATGAATGCATCAAATTCATCACCAAGGAACACTGTGGGCTTCAAATATAAAAATACAATTCATAAAACTTAATTGCTTAAAAGTCCTTTATTAAGTAGATATCACATATAATAATGGTAAAATCTCACTAGTACACATTTGCTTGCAAATTAGCTGCAAATCACCAGGGGCTTTAAGGATATGTGTATATATACAGCTTAATCTAAATACTGCAATTAGATTTCACTGATTGATCCCAATTCATTCACTACATTATAGCCTGAACCACAAAAGCAAAACCTTCACCAAAGTACTTACTGTTGTTGTTTGAAGCGGTACCACATATACTCTGTTGTCCCACGGTGAGTTTGGTCGATTCCATGGACATGCAGGACAAGCCGCCTTAGAGGTGCATTGTAGGGAGTGGACAGCACACTCAATAATCGATCACTCATGTAGTCATAATCTAGGGTTAGGACCTGTTTGGAAAACAGTTTTTATAACCTCTTTCACAGCAACTAAGTTCATTATATATTCTTACAAAAAGCTTCCTTCGGGTGCAGGAGAGACTTGTGTGGAAATAAAAATGTGAAGTCTAATGTGCTATATTTTTACAAACAAATATGGACAAACAAATTAATCTGCACCTCTAAGTATTAATACATCACTATATATATAACATAAAATTTTATCAAACTAACTTGATGCATATTTTATGAAGACAATATAAAGGGGAAAAAATGTTTGATAGGGTGTGTGACCTTAAAAAAACAGTGATAATAAGGGAAATTATAAAAGGGAAATGCTTCAGATATACCTAAATTAACAATAAAATTGCTTTGCTTCAAAACCGAGACAGAAATGAAAAATTCCATGCAAGGTTAAATCAAATGCTCCTTTACCATTACAAATTACTACTGATCACTTATGAACCACTTGTCTGACTGTAGAAATATATCATATGTATCTATAAATATTCACAAAGCTATAGCTAACCACCCCATACCTGAAGATTAGTAAACGATGTAAAGTTGTCGGGCGTGATGTCAAGCAGGGCATATGAGTCAGGATCATACTTGACTGAGGCCAAGCATAGGGTGTTGAGGCTGCTGGACTGGTGACGGGCCAAAAGGGGGAGGAAGATGTCAGCTTGGTCAGTGAGGTCTTGAATGCATCCTAAAGACAATCCCCTTAGGCTCCTGCTGTTTGTGATGATGCTCTGCAAGGATTCCTGTGCGCTGGGGAGTTAGACATGTTCAGTTTTAAATACTGTCACTGTCCATATCAATATCTCTGCATGTATTGATCTATCCATGTTAGTATATATTACTTCATAAAGAAGTATATAATATACAGAGATAAAAATCATATACAAATAGTAATAAACTGTAACAATAAACAAGTCAGTATCATAGAGTAAGTGGGAGAGAGTATATCAGATAATATGTAGATAATGATAGAACAGTTTTATTTTTGACACTTTTAGCAAACATAATAATTTTGGTTGAAAGTTAAGTTTCTGCTCATCTTCAGGGGGGAAGAATTTTTGCATGATCACCAAAGTTGTTAAAGATATGCAAAAGGATTTAAATATAAGTTTGATTACAAATACAGACAATACAAATGTTCACATATTGTTCAGTTGATTACTTATCTTGCATACTGATGGAAAGATAAAATGTACTACTCATAATGATAATGATAATGACAACAAGAATGATAACGATGATAACTGATGCTAATGATGATGATGATGAGGACGACAACGATGACCACAATGATGCCATTCCTTACAATTATGAAGATGAAGGTAACTAATAATAGACCAACAAGGAAAAAGAAAAACACAAAACATACCTTTCAATAAACTGGTATGACGACCTTGAACATGGCAGGCAGCGGGAGTGAGATGTATTGTTCTTATTGTAATTGTTATTGTTGTGGCGGAAATAATATGGCCGGTCATGTCCCTTGACAAACGTGTGACAGTGAGTTGGCAGCAAGATGAGTTCCTCCACCTGTAAACATTTTGAATATATATAGAACATAATACTGTGCAATCATCTTATAGCTAATAAACACTGATGTCATGTGAATTAACAAGGAAGACAGAAGAATGAAGGGAAAGAAGAAAGAACAGGAAAAAGAAAAGGTGGAGATGGAGAAGGAGGTGGAGGGGGGAAGAGGAGAAGAAAGCTGAGGAAGGAGGAGGGAATTGAGGAGGAGGAGGAGGTTAATGAATGAGGAAGAGGAGGAGGAGGAGGAAGTTGAGGTGGAGGAAGTTGAGGTAGAGGTGGAGGTGGAGGAGGAAGTTGAGGAGGAGGAGGAGGAGGAGAGGGGAAGAGGAGGAGGAGGAGGAGGAGGAGGGGGGGGGGGGGGAGGGGGGGGGGGAGGAGGAGGAGGATGAAGTTGAGGAAAAAGAGGAAGTTGAAAAGGAGGAGGAAGAGGTTGAGGAGGAGGAGTAGGAGGAGGGGGGAAGGGGAGAAGGAGAAGGAGGAGGAGGAGGAGGAGGGGAGAGGGGAGGGGGAAGAGGAGGAGAAGGAGGAGGAGGAGGAGGAAGTTGAAGAAATGGAGAAACTTGAGGAGGAAGAGGAGGAAGAGGAGGAGGAGGAAGAGGAGGAGGAAGTTGAAGAAATGGAGAAAGTTGAGGAGAAGGAGGAGGAGGAAGGAAGAGGAGGAGGAGGAGGAAGGAAGAGGAGGATGAGGAGGAGGAGGAGGAGGAGGAGGAGGAGGAGGAGGAAGTTGAAGAAATGGAGAAAGTTCAGGAGAAGGAGGAGGAGGAAGAGGAAGGAGGAGGAAGTTGAGAAGGGGAAATGGAGAAAGCTGAGAAGGAGGAGGAAGAGGAGGAAAAGAAGGAGGAAAAGGAGAAGGATGTTGAAGAAATGGAGAAAGTTGAGGAGAAGCAGGAGGAGGAGGAGGAGGAGGAGGAGGAGGAGGAGGAGGAGGAGGAGGAGGAACCTGAAGAGGAGAAAGAGTAACAGGAACCAAAACAACAAAAATAAAAAGAGCTTCTATCAAATATCACACAAAACTATATATATATTAAGTCATTTATCACAACTTTTGCTATTAACATTAAATAATCTTTCCTTTCTTTTGATGTTATTTCCATTCTATCCATTTTTACTATCATAATGATCCTTATTTCAGTTTCATCCCTCCCTTCCTCCCTTCCTCCCTTCCTCCCCCTCTCTCTCTCTCTCTCTCTCTCTCTCTCTTTCCCTTTCCCCCCACTCTCTACGCGCTCTCTCTCG